CTAATTTTTTTTAGAATAATGCTACTCTTACCACATTTGTATACCACATTTTTATACCACCTTATGTGGCAGATGAAGTGGACAACATATCAATTAAAATTAATTTAAAGTTTACTTATCTTTTATGATTTATTGACACTTTTTAATTGATGTGATTGTCCACTTTATCTGCCACATAAGGTAGTATGAAAATGTGGGATATAAATGTGGTAAGTGTAGCATTACTCTTTTTTTTAAGAGTAATGCTACACTTACCACATTTTTATCCCACAATTCTATACCGCATGATGTGGCACGTTCATATTATATGCCACATCAATTAAATGAATGAAGTGTATTTTAATTAAGGCAATTACAAAAACAAATAAGGGAATAAATCATAAAAGAAAAGAAAATATTAAATAATTTTAATTGATGTGGCTGTCCACCTCAACTGCCACATAAGACGGTATAAAGAAATGGTATACAAATGTGGTAAGAGTATCATTATTCTTTTTTTAATCAATTACTAGCCTCTCCTCAAGCGCTTCTGCTCATGCGATATTCCTTTATAAAAAAATTTAAATTTATTTTAGAATTAAAAAAGATAATGGGTAGTTGTGTTGCATAAAAATAGGATCCATTATCATATTTTTTTTAATAATATAAAAAGTGTGAATTTACCATATTATCCTAATTTAATTAATAATTTCAATTCTTAATGTTTGCATTAAACAAAAATATTTTCTGGTATTTTAAATGTTACACTATTCTCTGCTTTTTGCTATATATATATATATATATATAATCCTTTGTTTGTTACCCAAAAAAAAAAAAATTAAGCCCTATTTTTTCAATATATTTTCTTCATCAAATTAATAACTTTTTTAAAAAAAAGCAAAGGACCCTCTAGTGTATTGGTTTTGAGTAATTGCTCTCCGAGACAAGGTTTTTTGTTCGAGTTTCAGTATCTGTGTAGTAAGTGTGAGTTTAGTTTATTATCGCCCCTCTCAATAAGAAATGTCCTAAAAAAATTATTTATTTAAAATTATAATAAATTGGAAGTATAATTATGAGAGAGACAAAATACTGGTGTACTAATAATTTGTAACATATAAAAAAAAATTAAAAAAAAAAGGCATGAAACTATGAAATCTAAAACACCCAAATAAAATTTATACAAATTTATAAATAAACCGAATCTTAGACATGTATTTATAAAAAAACCCAAGCACTATTTAAACATAGAAACACACCTAAAATCAACCCCAAAGTCAACTTTTTGGGTGTGTTTATAAATGGGTTTTGAGTGTGTGTAATGATGGGTTTTGGGTGTGTTTATATGTTTAAATAGTGCTTGGGTTTTTTTATAATTTCAGACCCCATTTTGGGTGTTTTAGTGAAACTCCCTAAAATTTATGTTGTTCCTGGAAAAAAAGAGACCAAAATAATGAAAAATAAACCACCAAAACAATTATTAATTTTTCACAATGATCAAGAATTGATTAGAAACAACAAAAGATTCATAAAAACAAAAAAGAATAAACGATGCGCATTTTGAAACCCATGTAGGAAACCAGATTTCAACATTTCTAAAAAAAACAAAAACAATAAAATCGAAGAACAGAATTTGAGAGAGAGATATGATCATTGTACTTACAATTAAGCATAATTTATTTTTCTCAAAAGTCAGCACTGAGCTAGAGCCCACTTTAGCCTTAACATGGATATGCTCTTGTTAAGATAGTTTTTAACAGAGTTAACGGTTTGGGGCAAAATGAACCACCAAACCTTGGTAAAAAGGGCATGCTGGGTCACTTTAACTTTCACGGAGTAAAATGATATTTGACCATAATTTCAAGGGGCACTACAATAAATAAGCCTTGTTATTATTTTGATAGGGGGATTTCAACTTAAGGTCTCTTTTAATATGGGAAGAAATATGTCCTTGAACTAATATAGTTCGTAGCCAAATCATTACTTAAATTCTTAAATTAACCCATATTTGACATATAGTTTATTTTGTACTTTTGTTTTATTCATCAACTAGCCCCTTGGCACACGCTTACGCATGTGCCAATTGGTTTTCTTTTCTATTTTCTATTTTATTTTAGAATGAAGAAAAGATAATATGGGTAGTTATGTTCCATAAAAGTATGACCTATTATCTAATTTTGTTTTTAATCTTAATTTTTTTAATATTAAAAAAATGTGAATTTACCATATTATCCTCATTTAATTAATAATTTTAATTCCTAATGTTTAAATTAATCAATGGCATTTTCTGAAATTTTGAATGTTTTACCATTCTTTACCTTTTGCTTTATTCTAAACTCAAATTTACATTTGTATTTTATTGACATAAAAAAAAAATTTGAAGTTTCTAAGAATCTATAAACAATTGCAATAAACTTGTAGCTCAAATAGTTAAAAGTATTTACACTTGCATTTTAGGTCTTAGGGCTCATTTGGGACCGCTTCTCTAGGAAATACTTCTGCTCATAAGCGCTTCTAACAAAAACGCTTTTATTATAAAAATCTTGAATTTTCATACAAAATTAAAGTGCTTTGTGGAAAAAGTACTTGGGAGTGCTTCTTGCTTCTGCAGGAAGCGCTTCTATGACCCAAAAGTGCTTCTAAACTTTTCTCTCAAATACTGTCATAAATACTTTTAGTTATTAGAAAACGTTTTTGGTCTTTCCAGAAGCACTCCCAAATATGCCCTTAAATTTGATTCCTCCACCACAATATCATTTGTGTAAAAAAAAAATCTATACACAATTTAAACTAGAAATGTAAATGCAACCACTCATTTTAAAGGTCCATATCCAAATGCTAATTAATAACCATCACTTCGCACGAAAGCCTAAATCCAGTCAATTTCCGTTCTCCATGTCCATTCAAATTGAGTATCTTTGTCCACATAAGGACAAGCATTATTTACGGAACAACAATTGATCTGTTTAAGTGACATGCTTTCCTCCAATTCATACAATTTCTGTAACATATCAATTACAATTAGCACCAAAAATAGGAAGTGTTAATATACTGCAACTCTTCTATTCATGTCTATTAATTCACTGTGGTATGGTATATCATAACATATATAGATCATGCATGCAATTTTAAATCCGACTATCCAAACGAACGTACACTTTGGTCAACAATCCGAAGCACATATAAAAGGCGTGGAACGCAAAGCAGCAAATGCAATTCTTTTTCTTCTTTTTTTTGTAAATCAACGTCTTTTTTTGACTTCAGTTAGTTCTGGTCAAGCTTGCAACACTAGGATGCCAATTTATGCTTCAAACTAATTAAGCAACACCATCCTTATTTTTGTTAGCACCAATTTTTGGTATATTGACAATTTCCTGTTACAAAAATATAGAGTAGGTCTTTGAGTGGAACCTACAGTTTTTAAATGATGTTATGCTATTCTGGATCAGTGTGACTTAAAGACAATGCCAAGGTATGTTTTGTATCAATGCATTCATATTTGCATATTTGCAAGTTCATCAAAAGTGGCTATTAGATGTATAGGACTGATATATGGTTTCAGTCTTACATAATCTAGTGCTAGACATCAGTGAATTTTTAACAATGGTTTTATAATTTGGCGTTTATTTAAGCAAAAGGTTCTTTTTTCTTTTCATCTGGGTTTTTAGTTAAGTGGCTTTATTTGTTTTAAAGAAATAATTTATTTGTTAAAAGCCCATTTTTGCTAAAAGTCTTTTTTGGTCTCTGACCTAGTTTTAAGTGTGTAATATAAGAAAGGAACTTAGCCGTTTTGTTGGCTGGAATGTTGAAAAACAAAGAATGACAAAATATTCTTGCAGAGATATTTTTTGAGAGTTTATACTGAAAACTAATGTGGTTGTTCCTTGTGAGCCTCTATGAGTGATTGAATCATCATCTTTTCATATATGTGTGAGTTCATGAGCATTATGCATGTTGGTGATCAGCAATCGTGCCTTGAGGTGTGAACAATCGAGACCAGAGTTATGTCATCTCTTGTTAACGAAGGAAGACAAGATCGTTGATTGGGTTGAGTAGCAAAGGCGAGGAGGCAAGTTTGCCTTGTGAGAGTTAGTCTTGTGAGTTGAGACTTGTAAGACCTTTTTGTATTATGTCTCATAGTGATTTGTTCTTTGGCATAGTGCCCACAATTGTTTTCCTCATATTAAGGTTTTTACTGCGTCAACATATCTTGTGTCCCTTGCACAATTGTTTGTGTTTTTGTTTGAATTTATTATTGCTACGTATTCTAGAATTCTGCTTATAGGATTGTTACAGTATTTCAATCCTACTGTTATGTTTGAGCATTAAGAAACAGATCGGTTGACCATTCTAGAGAATTTCAATTTTACTCATATGCGTTAAGTCAGTTGATTAGGATATTTTGCTCACGTCAATTGGCCAAGACATCTCGTCCGCCTCGTTACAACCAAGCTTAACTCTATCATGAAAGGTCGTTTCCTATGCAGTGGACGTGGTTCCCATAATAACTAACGTTCCTATTAGCAATGGACCTTGTATTTTATTTTATTTTTTATCAGACTAGTTACCTTGTATAATCTTGAATTTTTTAGTAGGATTATTAGCAAAAGCGCATAAGGGAAACCAAATTAAATTAGCCTAAACGCTCATTTTTCATTTGTTTTTATGTTTTTTCCAAAAAATAGTTAAGGTCCTACATGGAGAAAAAGCATCATCCACATCACAGAATTCTTAACCATGCAATACAAAAGACAAGATGCTGGTATGATATTTACTACACAACATCACCTGTAAAGGTTCCGCACATTTTTAAAAACCGAAAAAGCAACCCTTATTTGCACCCACCCAACACATCAACACTTTGATTTATTTTTCACCACCGAAGTTTTACTCAATCAAGCACAGAGCACAGGTTCTCTTCAAACAAACCAACCACATCCCGGCACGCCGAGAGATAAAGCGTTAAAGGAGAGAGAGAGAGAGAGACAACTTTTGGAATTTTAAAAACCAAAAAACCCAAAAAGTGAAAAAGTAATCAGAATCAGCCTCATTTTAATTAACCCCCTTTTGTAGCCAGAGAGGCAAAAGGCAGAAAAGCCTAAGTAGCCGCTAAACAATTTACATGGCAATTACAGTCACATTTTGATAAGACCACCCCCAACCTCACAACACCAACCAACCACATACTACATTGAAACAAAATTTTAAAAACTAAACCATCGATTATCCGGAAACTAAATTCTAAACACACCTAAAATTAAATTAAATTAAATTAAAATTAACACTCCCTCCCTCTTTCTCACTATCTGAGCTGAGCTAAACTCAACAGCCGACCGGCGCTACAGCAGGCTTCACTTTAGGAGGCCTGCCTCTGCCTCTCGGCGCGCCAGTAGCCGTTTTGGCCTTCTTGGGAGGGCGTCCACGTGGCCTTCCAGTCCCAGAAGGGCTCTTGGGCTCCGGTTGCGGGGAGAACGGGTCTCTGGGCTTCGGGGGCCTGCCACGTGGCCTGGGAGGAGAGACAACGGTTCCAGGTGGGAGCGGGACCTTGGGCTTGGGCGGACGGCCTCTGCCTCTCTTGGGCGGCGCGTTCGGGTCAGGCTTCATGTAGTTGTTCTTGACCAGGACGAGCTCGCCGCTCTGTTTCATCTTGTTGAGGTGGTGCGCCAGAAGTGTGGCGTGAGCCGGAGGTAGATCGCCGTACGTGGACTCGATGTACGTTGCAATTGCCGACTTGTTAGACCCGTTGCTGTCGTTCAGGGCCTCGATCGCCGCCATAATCATCTGGAGAAAGAAAAATCAGGACAAATTAAGCAAAATCCAGCTGAAAATTAAGCGAAAATAAGTGGGGAAAAGCTGTTTGGGTGACGAGAAAAGAAAATGGAGGAAAACTTTTGTGTACCTCTGGATACTGCGGGAGAGAGGGAGCTGGCGGAGGCGGTGCCGGAGGGTTATCGGAGTTCTCAGTGGCCATGGCAGCGTTCTGTGGAGAAAAATGGCTGAGAGATTGAGACTGAGACCGTTTAATAGGGAAGTACAGAGAAACTGTTTTTGGTTTGGTGGGAAGTTCAGGCACAGATGATGAGGAAAGAGGGGAAGGATTTAAAAGGTGGGTTTTCTTGACGATCGGATCGAGGGGAAAAGGGAGGAGGATGAAGAAGAGAGATCCGACGGTTGGGGATTGCAAGTTTGTGTTATGATCCGACGGCGAACGACGTTTTAGTTGTGGTCACAAGGATCGATGACGTGGACAAAGGACTGAGCTGGGGTTTTGAAGTTTGTGTTGCGATGAAGTTACGTAACAGTCCCTCAGTTTGAATCGCGTCTTGTCCAAAGCCCTTCGAATAATTCGAGCGAGGATCGGATAGGCTCTGGCCAGCTTTACTTTTGCTAGGCTCAGAGGCTGATTGGCCGAAAAGGAGAAGAAGTGTGAGATGGTAAAAGATCTGGGCCAGTAGGATTAGGACATGACAGCAAGCTTAAATGGAGCGGCAATGCTTGATTCTTTGGGATTCAAAATGCTCTCGCTCTCAGATCCAGCATCCAAGTGCGGAGTGCGGGGCCCGCTTTAGGACCCGGGGTGTGGTCATGTGTGGTCCCAGCAGAGGGATATGTTTCTATACATCTGACGAGCATGTGTTGCCTAGGATGAAAAGTGAGGGTGCCGCTTCCTTAAAAGAAATCGAAGCCATTGACTGGTGCGGCTGGAGTTGACTTTTGGAATCGGACGGTAGTCCACAGACATGGCTATTGGTATGCAATCACAGCCCTCTGCTCCAAATTCAAAGGTTGAGGACGGTGCAGTGATTTCGAGGCAGAACCATGTTTGGTGTTGTTGGTGATAGATGATCGATGATGGATATGCTTCACTTAATATATTTTGACTTGGTGGGTCCCTGTACCCTTTTTTCAATTGCTGCTGTGCATGTGTAAATGTATATGGATTTATTTTTATTTTTAAGTTTTTGGTACCAAAAAATGCATATGGATTATTTACTGTTACTGATTCACATAAGTATACCAGTCAGCTGCAAAGTACTGACATTTCTCGTGAACTACCCTTCTTGTGGAGGACACGTGTCGGGATATCAACACGCTGTTCATCATATTTGACACGTCACATTAAACTTTGTTTTTTTTTACAATACCTGCCAACTCCGACACTCCCCGTCAGTTTAGTAAATTGATTGGCCGAGGAGTAGTTCATTCTCAAAATAAATGCAAATTTGACATTTGTCAATTGTGTCATCTCATTCTAACTTTTTCTATTCAGAATTGAGTTATGTTAAATGAATCTTAAAATTAGCTGAGTATACTCTACTACCAAATTATTTATTAAATTACTAATTTACGCTAATAAAATATGACTAAAATGATATATTGAATTGTGAAGCAAATATAATTTTAATAACTACACCATACTTACCATATTCAACCCTAATCAAACGTAAATGAAAAATCATACTTCCAAAAACCTTAATATTAACTCCAACAATTTGTTTCATCATTATTTGGTAATTCATTGATGCAAACAAATCTCATGGATGCTTCAGAGATGTCAAGGGAGTCATCAAAAAAGGTATTAAGTTTGGTTTTAATTTAGGTTGGAAAAAATAAAATAAAATTTAGGTTTGTCACCCACAACCCCTCATTATATGGATTCGAGCTTGGGCCCTCACCACTCTGGATATCCAGGAGGTTCATAAAGCCCACTGTTAAAGTAAGCGCTCAGAAGCAGCCCAACTAATATTCATTTATTTTTCTTGCAAGAGAAGTAGGGCCCAACTAAATTTCAGATGGTTTGGTTTTGGGGAAAGGTAGACGTAGTCAGAATATGAACTTCCAGTGGAAAGCCCTTCTCTTGTAGTGTCGTAACAAACAAACACATGAAATAATTGGAGTTGAACCAAAATGTAACAATTTGGATTTTCCTCTTTTAACTTTCCATGATATCACACAAAATTATACATTTCTATTGTACAAAAAGAATAATCAAAACCTCCTATAAAGAGCATACCTAACTTTCCGCCGGACGCTTGCCACGGTCATCTAGTTCTGGTGCTGCTGAAGTGGTTCCAGTGGCAGTAAAGCTCAAATCAAATGTACGGGAACGGGAATTAGATTCACCAGAAGTTCCACCAGTGGAAGACAGTCCCACTTGCCGGCGAGATCTTCTATATCTTGATCCGGGTACTCCAGGTCTAGTTGGCTCTTCCAGATTGCTCGGTTTCTTGGATAGGATTACCACCACACGATGCATGGTGGGTCTGAGTTGGGGATCACCTTGTATGCATAGCAACCCCATTTGAATGCACATTGCTACTTGCTCCGTGACCACAGATGATGCTAATGTTGGGTCCATAATCTCCAAGCTCCTCCCTTTCTTGTAAAGCTTGTATGCCTGTAGCAACAGTCAGAAAATGTTTAGGCTTTGCAGTACAAAATGTTTTCAATAAATTTTATAGCAACTGAATTCAAAACTTGAAAATAGATTATGTATACATTACTTCTAACGCTTCTGTTTTCAAGGTTGTTCTCTGAAAAATGTTGTAACAAACAGTTTCCAACAATTCCTTTGGTAGGCATGTTATGCCCTGTATTATGCTTTCATGATTTGAGTGACATAAATTTTTTTTTTCCAGTAAAAACCAAAAAGAACCAGATAGACCTAAAGTTTCTCAAAGACTTTTTCTTTTGTGATGCAATCTGGTATATAGTAATCAAATTTTGACTAGGACCCACATATTGGGTGATAAACTTTGACCCATAGGTGGGCCAAAAGCTTGTTCATTCTATGAAACCTAACGCATCGTCATGTATGAAGTGCTTGGCACAAACAGCTCAGCTTGACCAGCGCAAGCCACATAATTTTCATACTTGGCTCATCAAATAATAGTCTGATCTACAATCTTACCCAATCAAGTAGACTCTGTGCATCAACATTTAAGTTGAACGATGAATTTCTCTGGCCACTGATCAGCTCCAAAACCACAACTCCAAAACTGAACACGTCTGCCTTCACTGATAAATGGCCATGCATAACATACTCTGGAGCCATATACCCACTGTTTCAAGCATATTACAAAGTTCTATATTAAAATCAAGTCAACCACGTAGATCCCAAGCACTTGGAGTCAACATACTAACATATAGATATTAAGGCACAAGACAACATACTTGGTACCAGCTACACGGGTATTGACATGCGTTTCGTCTTCAGGAAAGAGGCGGGCCATGCCAAAATCAGCAATCTTGGGGACCCATTTATCATCGAGTAGAATATTGCTCGCCTTGATGTCTCGGTGTATAATACAATTATGTGAATCTTCATGAAGGTAAAGCAAACCCCTTGCAATGCCGTGTATTATATCATACCTCCGCTTCCAGTCAAGCTCCTCCCGTCTATTCGATTCTGTATCAAGACCATAAGAATCAGTGTATCAAAACCAAGTGCGATAACCATCACATAAAAATATATGATTCGCTAATTTAGGGGTTAAAGTCAAGGGGGTTGACAAAATGGTGGAGATTGTCTCCATTGTGAGCTGGCAAGATTGTGTCACAATTCAGAAATTTGTGTTGGGTGCTTGGGCTAAAAGAACATGGACAAAGTCAAGGTCTTCAAAGCCATATCATTCACATTGTTTAAATCAAAATGTGATAAATAGGCTAATGATGTCATAATAAACAGGTGTCTAAGTACCAAGTAAAGAATACATTAAATTATGGAAATCTTGCTTCAAAAATAAAATCATAGACAAAGATCAATAAAAGTTAATTGCCTTCTGCTAAATGAAAGTTCCCTACAACAGCTTAAATTATAATAGTCTTAAAACAAAACTCATCTCATGTTACTATAATAGAAGGCAAACATTTAATTTATACCTTTTAAATTCAGAAAGAATTTAGTCAATAAGTGTTTTTTAAGAAACAACGACGAAATGAGTAATAAAAAGGGAGCTGATTTTCCCACTCCTCTCGATGATGCATATCATAGGGAAAATGCTGTATCTTCCAATATCAATATGCCGGATTGTCAAAATTGACCTTTGTGAAACAGATAGAGTTGACCTTGGATTTGTTTTTCATTATTTACTCATTAGACGAGTCAGAAAAATAATTTAATGATTTCCTGGTTGCTCCTATATTTTTTATTTTCTGTAAATGATCCCAAAAGGTTGGCTATCTAGTATCATTTCTGCACTGTGTTTGTTCGCAGCACCACTTGTCCCCAATTTCTTAAATTTGGATCACTATAATTCTTTATACCTTTCTCTGTTGGGAGCTGATTTTCCCACTCCTCTTTTATCCACTTACACTCCCTTTTTTAAAATTGTATGTTCTCACTCCTCTTTTCTTCACGTACACTCCCTTTTTTTGTTATAGTAAAAACTATTAAAAAAATAAAAGGGAGTGTAAGTGGACAAAAGGGGAGTGGGAAAATCACCACTTTCATAACCTTCTCATTTTCCTCGATATATCTAGATTCTCCAATGTAGCGGAACATTGGCCTAGAAAACAAGGCATCCCTATAATTCCAAATGACTACTAATTTTGTAAGAATGATTCTTAGCAAGGAAATTTGCAAAGCAAAGCAAGTTTCACCAAATTTCAGCATATGTAAAGCAATGCTGGCCAGAACAAATTTCCATACAATTTTGACAGACATGTCAGCAAATCTGATGGAAATGGGGGTTTGAATAAGTTCCATCTTGACAACTAAAGCAATCTATCCAAAATCCTGAAGTAAGGAAAATGAGAAAATAAGTTTCTGAGTCACAAAACAGTGCAGCTTTTAGTACTGCACTATCTATTGTTCTTCATGCAGTTGCCAAATAAAAATGTGATAGTAAACAAATATAGAAGGATTAACCAGTACTTACTGAAGAGAAGCTTGTCAAGGCTCTCATGCGCGACATACTCATAAACAAGTAGTTTCTCTACCCCATGTGCACAATAGCCCAACAAATTCACAACATTGCGGTGCTGCACACGAGCTAACAACTTGGCCTCATTCATAAACTCTTTCTTTCCTTGATTTGAACTTTGTGACAACTTCTTCACCGCAATCTCTCTCCCATCCTCCAACTTCCCCTAAGATATAAAAAAAAAAAAAAAGCACCACACAAGTTGGAAGACACATCAATTGCTCCGTTTGGTCAAGAAGAAACTAAAAAGGCTGCCCATTGGGAATTTAAAGGCCTTTTAATCAGGGAGAGAAACCAGAAGCTTATAATTTAGAACCTTACAAGACACTACAGTGGGTGAGTCATACATGACTCACCTAAAGAAATGAAAGACATACATGTACACTAGAATGGTGATACTCATTTCTCCATTATATTGTCAAATTATATAATCCTTCAATTGCCGTAACAAACTTTCTAAATCCTTTAACACCCAAGAGAGTAGCAGGTTGTGCTTACAAGTATATGATTGAGTTGGTAATTAAGCTAACTTTGAGTTTCTTACTCTCTAGTAGCCATGATTCCATCTCCAAAAGGGCTAAGATGGCACATTTGCACTTGCAGCTGCCTTGGAAGAAAGAAAACAAAGGGACTGAGGAATAACCTTCTTAAAATTATGACATTTCACACATTTTCCTAAATAATTTGTTTCACTGAATGCCAGCATAAATATAAATAACAATACCAAGTAACAAAAAGATTTCTTTGCAGTCTAAAACAATTAGAAAACAGCATTCACTAAAGAGACAATGGACCGCTTTCTTGTTTTCTCTGTTTCCAAAAAGCGCAC